CCTCTGGAGCTGCCTTTAGTTGGTGGCCCTTCTGCCAGCAGTGGCCTGAGCAAGCAATTATTGCAATTGCTGCATCTTTTAACTCGAGTGTCTTCACACGCCGTGAGGTTTATATGTTCGCGCATTGCCAATCAGTGCATTCGTTTACTCATGTTCCGCTGGAGACCGTTACCCGTTCCTTACTTTCGGAAACCGGTAATTGATTCTGAAAACGGTTGCTGACTTACCGGTTATGGCTTACCAACCGCCTATTTTAAACCAACTTAAAGCCCAAAGAGGCGAGAAATATCTATTTCGAAAAGATGTTCTGGGTTTAAATAATTTCAGCAATTACTAAACAAAAATTTACCCCTCCGCTATTTGAATGGTGACTGCAGAGTTCAGTCTGTTATCTGGTGAGTCACAAGCATGTGCACATGTACACTAATCCTGTAAAAGTTCACCCCCCCCCCCCCCCCCTTGCATTTTGATGAATTCTCACGAATTGATGCAGGAATATTTTCAGTTTACGTTTTGGTACACTGCAGCACATATAGTTGCCGTTCGGATCACGTGAGCTATTTACAACATTCAAATCAAAAGTATTATATTCTTAAACACACTTATTTCTCTCGTGAGCATAAGAAGTATGATTTTATAATTATTAATCGATGTATCATTATGCTTCCAATCCACAACATTTAGTGCAATTCCCTCAGAAATTCATCTTTTTGCTTTCAGCACTCAGAACATGGATGTGGCTGGAATTCAATTTCGCTAAGGTCCAGAGCCAGTGACTTGGCACCAGCTACCAAAGGAGGATTCACTCTGCTCAGACCACCAAAGACAGAACCTCAGTGGCCTCTGAGCCGAGCCACAGCTGTGGTTCAGACTTGGCTGTCGATCATTTTCTCATTTGGAGCTGTTGCAAATGTCTCAATTCCAAAGTTCCTTCATGACCGATGAATCAGAGCATCTCGTAAAATGAACCCATTACTGTATATATAGCATGGGCTAATAGCGACGGTGTTGCTCTTGTAGGAAAATGGCTTATAAATTTTGTTCCCCCCAAAAAATGGGGGAGGAAATGTAAGAGAATTTTTTTTTTCATATAAATTAATAACTCTTTTACAGCTCCGCAGACTGAACTCCCGCGCTCCTGAACATAAGCACAGACATTACGTAACCTTCCAGCAATGCTCCAAAATTACCCAGCAGCCAGCATATATGATTTTGCTGTCAGACTGCATATAACATGACACGTTGCCATGCACAAAGAATAAAACATGAAAATCATGACCTTTATGGACACAATACATCCACACGCGCAATGCATATCACAGTCTGTATAGGATGAATTGTGAACGAGCTACACATACAGTATTTGTATAATTCACTGTGTGTACAACTGTTCACTCTTCATATGCGTACATTATATGAATTCATGTTCCATTTTCATTTCTGTACTTACATGTTAGTAAGACGAATTATTCATGGCATTGACAGCCGGTATCAATCTATAGTCATAGTGTCATATACAAATACAAAGATACAAAGATCCCCCCGTATAGCCTTAGCAGGCTATTGGGGCAAGTGCTAGTAGCGAACAACTATCAAGGCCAGCACAGCACACAAGGGGGGGGGGGGGGGGGGTAGGTGGCAAGCACCACGCCGAGCCACCTTTGTTTGTTTCCCCAGTGGCAATGTTTACACATCCCACCAGGTACTTATTTAAGGCTGAGTCAACCTAGTGGAGGCCCAGGACTGGTTCAGATATTCGTTAATGGTGTTGGCCGTGAGTGGGAATCGAACTCGGATCACTGGGTTTATAGCGCAGCGTGCTAACCACTATTCTACCGCTCCCCACTGTCATTCACACACACATTTTATATGGCCCACTCATGAATGGATTGGGCCAAACATTCCAATGCAGGACTCACCTGAAAATGAGAATTGAGACTCAGTGAGGGATTTGACTAAACCGCCATGAATGTGCCCAATCTCATGAGATCTCAGAAGCCAACAGTCATGAATGGAATTAGGGAAACGTGAAATACAGCACCCTCCTAAAAACACAGTTTTTGAGTCTAACTGTGGCTTTACCGGGTAAATTATTGCCATTGCTTTTGCTATAGAACTGGCATTAGGGTATTACACACACACACTTTTTCACAGTGATTTAAACATCTATGCGAATGAGTACTTACTTTAAACACTGTGCAGCCGAATTCCATGCGTGACATGCAGTATGTTAATGTAACCTTTCAGATTACACCTTGAGCACGTATGTATATATTCATACATACGTGTATATGTATGGACAGCAGCTATTTATGGATGCTAGATTAAACTGGTTATATGCAGTGGTTACTTAACAGCATCAAGTGGTTTTAGCACACATTTTGCGTCTATTTAAATTTGTATTGTTAGATTTTATTTTGTATTACTCAACACTATTTGCTTATGCATTAGCTACCGATTGGAAATTGTATTATTATTTACAGAAGTCGATAAAATAATCAAATTTGTCCCCAAGTTCAAATGAGCGTTGGTTCGTGCTCATCTCTATAAGTGGTGTTAATGCAGTGGTGGAAATTCCAAGTTCCTATGGTGGGGAACATTCATACTGTGACAAGCACTGTTGACTTTTCCCCAACAATTATGCTCTCCTTGTAATGTTCATTCTATTGACCTTTCAGAGAGGAAGAGTTGCGTTGACCCTGGCCAGGATTTGAACTTAACACTTCGCAATTCGGAGCTCTGCTGCTGTACAAAAAGGGCAACATTCCTGAATCAACAAAAGCACAGGACGATTGTGACGAAGCACACGTGGTCTGCAGGGTTAGTGGCACGTGGTGAGCGTCATGGCTGATGAGAACACTGGTTTCCTGGGTACCAAGTGGAGGGGACCCACAATTGGGGGCCACCTGGAATCGTGCCCTCTAATTGTTAACTACCGCTCGCAATCGACTACTTTTGTTGGTGATCAATTACTTAGGCCTCCTTGAAAAATGGTCGTCGCAGCTACAGCCTGCCTCCTGAAGGCTGGAAACCCCCGACTAACCGCGGCCTGCGTGACGTGGCTGATTTATGCCCTGCCCATCACGAAGGTGACACTTTGGTTTTGTCTCCCAGTTTCATTTTTTTGGTGATGTCGATTCGTCAAATAAGGTCAGGATGTTTTTTTTCTTCTCTCTCTCTCCAGCTAGTTTCGCATTATCCAATTGGTCGAGTAAGTCAAACAGATAATCGGTCGTGTAATCGATCACTTAAACAATTGGATAGGCCAGATCTAGTTTGACGCTGAGCACATTAGGGGTCCGAAGGCTGCGGTTGAAAGGCATTCACTGGGGTTTCTCGGTAGGGACGAAGCACAGCTAATCTGGCGCGCTCATCCCACCTACGGCTGTGTGTGCTTTTGCGAGACGCAAGTGGGGGTTTTTTTATCCTCGTGTTTGCGTGTGCGTGATTTGCTGCTTCCTGTATACAGTTGTTCTGCAAGCGAGGACACATTCTAATGCTCGGTGTTGCTAGGATCGGCTTGGCTGAGTATTGGTGGTATAATATATTCGAACAAAGATACACTTGTGGCATTAACTGTCATTTCGGCAGACAATAACCCGCTTTTTGAATTCGTATAACGTGTGGGTTTTAAAATACTGTAGACTCTTTTTTTATACAATACTGTGTATACACTTTTGTAAAATTATTGTGGGTGGATTATTTAAAAACTAACATCCGCTGTCCTCAGTGATGTATAATTTGCTTTTGCTGTTTACTTTAAACTTGTGCCACACATGTCTAGCACATTTAACTCTTTGGCTTTTGGACACTAATTTCCAACCAACGTTTGCAATTTGCCTTGCCATTCTAAAGCGTGGCTTGAAATGTTACAGAGTGCCGCGGTGGTGAGACGTTAACTGCCTCACCTTGTATACAGGAAGTCGTGGGTTCGATCTCGACCCTGACGCTTGTTGTATGTTTGGAGTTTGCATGTTCTCCCCGTGGTCGTGTGGATTTTTCTCTAGGGCCTCCGGTTTATTCCTCCACATTTAGAATCAACATGCATTTAGAGTATTTGGCTGTTATAAATGTCCACATGATAAGCCACTTCGTTGAGCTATTGTTTGTGGCCAGGCCTCTTCTGAAAAAGAGCTATACAGCCCGGTGGGCCTTACCTGGTAAAGTACAAATACATTCGTTTAGTTTTAGTATACATTACTGTGCACGGTATTTGGTAATATTTAGCATTGTGTTGGATTACATTTACATTAGCTGATTTATTTTGTCCCGTAACATTTTCACTAATGCAAACCCGGCCATTTGACAACAATACTGTACCAAGTTCTTATGTGCCGTGGACCCTCGGGGAGAATGTTTAGCTATTCGCCTTGTCTAATCACTCGCTGAAAACAAGGAACGAAGAATCTGTGACATTCTTTTCTAAGCGTGGGACATTGTGTAGTGGTGTCCTGTCAATATCAACGACCACGGGGGTGACATACATACGTAGTCTGTCTCCACAAATTTGATCTCACCTGTTGAAGTTTGTTTTGACTCTGGGCAGGGGCGGAGCCAGGATTTTGACTTTGGGGGGGCTGACTTCAATATTCTGAGATATCTCAGTGTTTATGTTTTCCAATGGGCGCCACAAATTTATAAAACAAATTTTATTGGATTTGAACGCGGAGTTTATTAATAGGTCGGAGCCGCTGATGTGGCTAATAAGTTCGATAAGTTCGAAAGGCTGCCGCTCAAGCAGCCTGCAGGGCAGCACACAAGGTAGCAGCCTGCAGGGCAGCACAAGGTGGCAGCCTGCAGGGCAGCACAAGGTGGCAGCACAAGGTGGCAGCCTGCAGGGCAGCACAAGGTGGCAGCCTGCAGGGCAGCACAAGGTGGCAGCCAGCAGCATTTTGCAGCAGCCGGATATCCGGTTATCCCGATTACCGACTTTCCCAAAATTTCAGGGGGGGCTAAGCCCCCCCAAGCCCCCCCCCCCCCCCCGTGGCTCCGCCCCTGACTCTGGGCCAATTTAAAATTGCAATCCCAAGGCACTGTAGTGAAATGTAGGCATGGTGCACGTACTGCGGTACGAGTTGGTACACTGAAAACACACGCATAATTAAAGACAATGGTGTAAATTTCTTAAACCCCCCGCACCTGTATCCAGCCAGTATAATTTGTACACGACAGCTGGTTATTACTCGACAAGTCATGTGTGATGGGGTAAAGTGTGGGTAACTGCTATGTCTTCCAAGACATGGCCAACAGGGAAACGTCGTGACATGGTGCTGGATTATCAGAAGAGACAAGTGGGATAACACTGAAGTTATTGACTGAATAGTTTTTTTCTCAATACAATTTCAGCTCCACATATGAACCCAGGCACCTACGATTCTTCCATTTATTTATGATGTTTGCATTGCGTGACTGTCAGAGAGTGTGCTGGGTAGTAGTGACAGCTAGTACACAACAGCGACTCAAGTTCTGCACTATGAACCTGCCAACCTGTGTGATATTGGGATATATATGTAGCATTGGCTGTGGCAGCTGGGCGATATCTGGAAAACTTGTAGGATAACTCAGCCGAAAATCAGTATATGCTATGATGTGTCAACAGAACTGGGGAGGCAAAGGAGGCCAGGTAGTTGATGTTATTGGCCACAACACACTGACCATGTGCCATTCCAACGTTAAGAGGTGCTCACGGACAGCAATCCCTTGCCCTGATACAATATTTCCCAAGAGACCCGTTTCTCCTTTGTTAAGTACACGAGTATGTAAGCTTATGAATGAGCACAAATAAACGGTGTAACGTTTAAGCACAGTGTACGTCCCATATTAACGGAAACACCCTGGTTATTGTGGGTAAAGCTTTATTACGTGTACTTTTAGCATGTTTTTTTTTAATTAGGAGACACGTCGACGTTTATACTTACCTTCGGGCCATACGTTAACTTTACGCGGAGGGGAAAAATGATAAATAAAGATAAAGTGAAGTTATGCAGCGCTGGCTTTTTGATTGAAATATTAAAAATGTTCTCGAGGGGTTTCATTTAGCATTTGCCAGTGGTTTGGCATTCATTTGCAGTCCCCCAGCCTGTCTCATTGCAAGACAGATGTTCTACGCTTTGCCAATACAAATTGTGGTTTCAGATTTAATAAAGGGTGATGATATATCATTTTAGCACTATTTATTTACACCGTTCGAGCATGCGCTATACATTAATCTGAGCATATAGTCCATAATTACTTATCGCAGAATTTACATGTCTGACCTCTATCCCAGAAAACCTGCGAGAGTCTTGTGTTTCTGTGGGACCGAGCGATCGTAAAACTGCGTAGGAATATGTTGAGTTCGTCTGCCAAATAAGACGTGTTTGTGCATGTATTTCATTTATTATTTCAACAAATATTTTTTTGGGGCGAAACGCAATATTAATTGCAGCTTGACCCATATACAATTCAGCCTGCGAAGCAAGCGTTCACACTCCCCAGCGGTGCCAAGCGACCTTGGGCAACGTGAGGTCGAGCGGGGGACAGAGGAGGGAGGTTGGGGGGGGCATTGTTGATGCTCTTAAACAGTTGTCTTCAAAGCCGTGCATGTCAGATGCTCACCACCAGGCGAGTAAAGGTAGAAGCGAAGCCTTTTTAAACATTGCGTTGTGGGGTAGGAGAGAGGGTTGGAGCGGGGTGGAGGGGTCCTGGGCAAGGGGAGTTTGGAGCGAGGATGTATAGCGCTGGGGGAAATGGGAGAGAGAACTGGGAGGCTGGTGAGCTTAGCCTAAACCGTCCCACATGTGCAGGCTGCCTCAACAGATGCCTGGGTATTTTCTGTCCTGGGGGCCCACTGGGTGCAGAAATTGCTCTCAGGCTTCAAGACCATTGCTGCTGCCACAGCCTGATGCTGTCTGCCGTCCCTCTGACACCTCCTACTTCCCATCCCTCTCCTCCCACTCACCCAACCATCCATCAACGCAATCCTCCAACCACCAACACCCCAACCCACCCATCCACTCATCCACCCACCAACCCAATCCTCCACCCACCAACACGACCCAACCCACCTATCCACTCATCCACCCCCCCCACCCATTAGCTCCGTATCTCATCTCCCACACCCCATTCCCTTTCCTGAATCCTGCGTTGTGTACGTGCACGCGTGCATTCAGGCACCTTGTGTGTGTGTGTGAGCGCGTGTACATGCGAGTACACTGGCATGCGGACCGGCCACTTTTTATTGTTTCGTGTACGCGCTTCGTCAGCGTGCTCATGCGTGCCAAGTGTGTCGCCCGCGCGCACACGCGCGCGTTCACGAAATTTCCACCGGCTTGACAGCATCGAAATGTCACTCAATTTAGTCCACACCAACAGCGGCAGAGCCCCCCGCAAATGTCCCACTTGCTTTGGGGTTGCACGCCCCAACTAGCCATCGTGGCGTAATCCAGTGTTCATGTGCAGTGCGGTTACATACGCACACTGTACGATTTTCTCAGAATTGGATTTTCCCCAGCGGCAGCTGCCTCTCCATGGCTGATTGTGTTAGGCTGGCCGGCCGCAGTGCCCTGGGTCTTCATTTTACCGGTGGCAGCCTCGTCGTGTTGGGGGTTACGGGCTAGAGTTGCAGAAGGTCTCAATCCCCTGCCCCCCCCCTTTCGAAATCGTTATAGTCCACGGCGTCCCCGGCCCTTTCAACGTTACATCGGGGGTGGTGGGTAAGAGCTACAGCAGCAGAATGCATGATGGGCAAAAGCAGAGCGTTATCGTTCGTCGCACTGATGAGCGTTTGTTGAAAGTTTGTTTTAGCATTCAATGGTCAAGCCCCCCTTCGGATTTTAATAAGGTCAAGCAATAAGGTTTACTGGGGCCCTAAGCTTTCTAAAAGACTTATAGAAGGTGGACCGAGATCAACATAATGAAATCAAAAGGCGGATGACAGCACGTTGTAGGGATGATGTAAACCTGAACTTTTTGAAGAATAGCAACATAATGTCCCGATAGACGAATGTTTTTTTTTGTCAATTTATTACACCTGTAACGAGAAATAGATTGGAGAAATATGGACGTTGACACAAGAAATGTAACAAAAAAGCTGAAAAGTGTACAGAGAAGCACATGGACAGGTGAATGCTTGGAATTACACAGAGCGTGGAAGAGGAAGACGTGGATTAGAGAACATTAGCAAGGGTGTAAGGTTGTCCTGTTGTCGGTTAAGAAGGGTGAGTGAATGAGCTTAAGCAGAGCACAACATTTTGAAGGGATGATGGCCGATTGTTAAGACCAATGATGGAGTGCTCAGAGGATGGAACACGCCCAAGATAATAATCCACCGGGGAAATCAGCTCGTGTACGGGAGGAGCTACAGTCCAGTGGTTCTTAACCTGGGGTGCACGTACCCCCTGGGGGTGCGAGATGCCCTTTCTGGGAGTGCGAGACATGGCCACCTTTTTTTTTACACGGTAAATGATCGAAACACAAATTAAGCACGGGCACGTTCGTACAACAATTTTCTTACGTCAAACCCTATGTATTTAATAACATTATCCATTCTTTTTTTACGATTGAGAACCAAAGGGGTGCAAGGCTGCGGTAAAGGTTGAGAAACACTGAGCTAGGCGGATTCTTGCATTGCGAGGCCCCAGTGAGAGATGGAGACTTCTTGGATCGATCATGGCTGATGACGATGATGATGATGATTTTTCGTGGCCACTGCACTCACAGCATCATTTCATAAACATGAAAAGCAGGTTTGCAAAATGTATCGTAATCATAATTATATCATAATTATATTTCTTTCCCACCAACCGGGGATATCTTACACACAAACTTCCAAATTCCACTTACAATGCCTGGCTGCATGTATAATGCATGCTTTGAGCATTCCATGTGAGCCAACTGCATAATGAATGAGTGAACTATGCAGAGAAAAACGGGATAACATTTGTTTAGCTCAATTCTGCACTCGTGTTATTTATTTCACTCCTGTAACAAACCAGGTATTTTTTTTCTCTCAAATTTTTCAAAAGAATGTAAGCCTTTGAGGGAATCTTACAGGCTCAGACATTCCAATATGAATTGACTGCAATAGTAAATGAGTGCTCGCTGTGGTTTTCTCTTTGGAAAATTGTTATGAATACAGTAGGTTATAGTTTAAAGGGATAATAGGGTAGCCTTTTCGGGAATACTATATGTCAGTCATTTCCACAAAGTTGCTATGCAAAGACTTGCACCACAGCATTTGCACCAGGGCAGAGAGCCCAGAGTAAAGTTAGAGTGTAACAGCACGTTGATCCTAACATGCACTGCGTGTTTTCCAGTGAAGCATCCAAACAAAACCGGGTGCCTTGCGCCCACCCACTCTGAAACCGGCCCTTTTTTTTCAACTCTTGCTATTTTTTTTTTGCCACTCCTCTCTCCCTTATTCACTTCATTTCGTTCCACCTCCACAAAAAGCGCACAGTTCCTTCGCAGTGCCTCGTTCAACGAACCGTGTTTGAAAAGTGACTTAAAAGTTATTACACAGATATTTGAAACAAATATATATTTAAAGACGTGAGAGAAAATAGATCTCTTTTGGGAGCTGCTTGGCCAGGCTATGCTTCCCTTCGGCACCCTGCGGAGCGAATGGAGCTAAATTTAAGACTCGCCGAAAATAGCGTGGCTCGCCGAGAGAGATTCTACCGTAGCGAGGAGAGGAATGGGAGGCCGGCAAGCCGTTGCTCGGACGTATGTACGTTGAACTTCTTTCACACCGTACGTAGCCAACCGTGCTAATCTGAGGTGCGGGGGTAGGACAACAAACTATGGGTCTCTGTGTGAATCTATGGGTCTCACTCTCTCTGTGGGAGCCTATGGGTCTCTCTGTGAGTCTATGGGTCTCTGTGTGAGTCTATGTATGTACGTTGAACTTCTTTCGCACCGTATGTAGCCGACCATGCTAATTCGAGGTGCGGGGGTCGGACAAACTAAACACAAAAAAAGCAGTTCTAAAGAAATGAGTTTTCAATCTAGATGATGATTTATAAGTGCATAGCTCCAGCGGCTTCCTAATATCGGAAGGAGGAGCGTTCCAGACGACCGCAGAATCGCATCTGAAAGCGCCGCGTGATGCGGTGACCACCCTCGTTGTTTGATGGCTTAGCCAATGCGCTGCTTCTCCAGTCAACCTCGGACTGAGCCGCGCAGGGCTGGCCAACAAGGGCCAAGGAGGGCAGCAGGGGGCAACCGGTGGGGCTGCGGCGGCGAGCCTGAGATCAAAGGTGGTGAGTGGGAGGGGATGAAGGTGGCTGCCGAGTGCAGGGAAGTCCTCTCCGATGGCTCCGGACCAGCAGGATGCAGCGTGTGAGTAGGAGGCACGCAGGCTGACAACACCGCGGCTGCGATGACATCACAGTCACGATGCTCCAATAACTTTAGAGCACTTTGCAAGGTTAGTTTGCAGTATTTTGCTCAATTGTCTTCAAGCATGCACTTATATGTATAATGCATAGTCTGCTATCCGTGTGTGTGTGTATATAGCCAAGCACACACACATATATATTGAAATAATTTTTCTCTTCCTAAGTAGGGATTACATTTCAAAGCTGGCTGACAACCATGGCCCTGTATTTTTCATTCAATGGCAACTTTGATCTGGCCAGGATTTTCATGATTGCAGTCAATTTATGTTTGACTAACACCAGTTCGTATCAACTCACGGTTGGTTTAACGGCATTGAGACAAGTCAGATATTAGACTGTAGGAGCACATGTACGTGTGTTCATACGTGTGTACGTCTGTAGTTTAGCACGGTTGGCTACGTACTGTGCGAAAGAAGCTCAACATGCATACGTAGTTGGAAGCAGTGGTGCAGTTGTCAGCACACTGCGCTACAAACTCGATGCCGCGAGTTCTATTCTGGCTTGTTTGAACAGTGAGTGATAATCCGAATTGTTCTGGGCTTCCACTAGGTCAGCTCAGCCTTAAATGATAACCTGGAGTGGTGTGTTAACTAACATCAGCATTGCGAAGAGACGAAGGTGGCCAGGCGTTGAGCTGGTCACAGCACCAAGACTGCACCTCACGGGTCTTAATAATTGCTCGCAAGTCGCACTTGCGCCCTAACAGTCCGTTATGGAAGCTATAATACGGGGGGAATCACTATGTGTGTGTGAATGCATGTGTGTGTGTGTGCACGTCTGGGAGTGTGCACGTTGCTTGCGGCGAGTGCAGTGCCCCATGTGGGGAAATCTCAGTGTGCCTGAGTGTGCAGCACTTGCGTGACATTTTTTTGTAAAGTTTATCAGCAACGGCACTTAGCAGACTCGGGTTCGTCCCTTTTTCCGGCATTAGCACCGTTGGTTAATTATGTCCGGTGGATGGAGAGCACTACAGCGATCTGGCCATTACATACAAAGATCCCTTTCTTGGCGTTACAGACTGGGCGCTGTGTGTAATTTATTCCGCCCGAATTGCAGAGCGAGGATTGCTCGCTACGCTGTGATTGGACGGGATCCTGCGAGCGAGCGGCCACGAGGCTTTTTTTTATTTTGCACGGGGAGAATTCTGCCAGACTCTACCCCTAACGGAGCAACCTCCCACTTCAAGCGTCCCTTTGTGGGCTCGCTTTTTTACAGCTGGATTAGTGTTCTTGGTATTTGGCGATCATCATCATTGTGAGCCAATGGCCAAATCACCCAGTATGCACCCCCCCCCCCCGATCTCGTCAAATCCCACATGCTGAGCAAGTTGAGCCTAGATGTCACTTTGATGGGTGGCCACCATGCACAAAAGGCAGGCGTTATGGGGGCATCGTGGGCAGTGGAGGGCAGTGGCGAAAATTCCACAATGACCGGCGATGGTGAGGTTTGGTCAAGCATCCCTCACAGCCTGCAAGGTGTGGTGATGCCCATACCCAGCAGTGGATTCACGAACGGGCTACACGTGTACACAATGTCTATCATTGTGATGTTCATTGACAGAATCAGCATGCATGAATGGTCATTGTTATTATTAGTTATACTCTTAGATATGAAATGTTCATTTAAACATGTTGAAGGAACGTGAAATGTAAATGTTAAAACTATTGAAGGATTGAGGACCGTGTATCTGCTACCGATTATATTGTTTTTTGAGGATTTTTCGTAATATATCTTTCAACTGATACGTGACTTATAGGATGTACTAAAATTCTGCTTATGTACAAACAATTCCACGAAGAAAATCCTCAGCTGTGCAGTGAGATTAAATTCAGCCACATGAAAAAAAACATTCGTTAACGTTCCCTGGTGTATGACAACAGGGTTTTATTATGGATTCAGTAACGCTAAAAATTACAGTTAACTGACAAAAAATAATGGGCCCAATCAGTAGCACAATTTATCAGTCTGCTTGCTGTCCAACTAACGCTCTCTAACGGCATAGTGGCAGCCAAGCGATGCAGCTAGTAAGCTACCCTGTGTATCATCAGGCCATCATCAAATTTCTCTGAATTCTGAGAAGAGGAGCTGGAATATTTTGTAGTCTATGAGCGCGCTCCGGGCTAACGTGGTCGGGCACCAGAGAGTGTTTCGACTTGGCTAGGTTAACTTCCGGTTGCAAACGAAATCCAGATGGCAAACGCAGAACGCTAAATGGCTTCTGTATTCGTGGAGCCCAAGAAGCAAAAGCCCCGCTCCTCGCACAGAGACCTCTATGCATTTAGATTAAAAATGTTGCACCATGGAGTGGCCAATTTTGTTAAGTAAACTGTGTGCAGGGCGGGCGTGTGTTTGAACGTATTTAACGGTGAAGGAACGTGAGATTGTGGAGCATTCCAGACAGCTTTAAAAATAAGTGTACCGAGGGCTTAAAAATGCAATGAACAGAGGATCAATTTCAAAATTTTGAAGTGCATTTTTTTTATTGATTGTACAGTCGTGTCTGTAGGCCAATGCTTGGTTGTGACAAGCCTCAGACCTCACAATGTGAGCGGTAAAACGCGCCCCTCTTGAGTGCATTACTCTTGCACATGTTAAAGCTGTTTTGCGTCGACAATAGCTCACGGTCATGCTGCCCAGCCACGTGAGTTTTTCGCACTTGGTGAAGCTGCTGCTTACAGCCTGTGTATTTCATGCAACTCGCAGTTCTTGCAGGTGCATTTTTGCCGATGTTAAAATCCAGCCACTATGGTTATTGGGCCGTATACGTACCTACCCCAATGCGCATTGATTCCAGGTGTGAGTTTGACCGTTCATTTCATTATTATTATACAGCCTTCTGGATGTATCCAATTGGAGCTTTTGCTGTTGGAATGTTCACTCTCTGATTTGATATTTGTGCATGATCATTAACTTAATTGGAATTGATCAACAGAAACTAACAAAATGTATGGGAGCACCATTTCCTACCCGCCTATCGCCTCTCATTGTATTCTACACCCGTTCACGTACGTATGTTGAACTTCTCTCTCACCGTATATGGCCAACCGTGCTCTTCCCCCTACAGAACACAAGCCCTTGGGTCGAATCCATTGATCATCCTATGTTCCATAGGTCACTGCTTTACCCTTGCTGCTGCCAACTCTCTGAAATTAATTTCCTCGAGCCAAGCTCACTACTGCAAAGGCCGTGCTCTTGTTCCAGTTTTCCTGCAGTCACGAATGCTTTAAGTCAAAACAGTTGAGTCAAAGTAACCTGATAATGTCTTCCTGATTGGTCATAGAGCCCATCTCTAGAACCCTCATAGTGGCTTTGCCATTTTACAGCGCCGTTGAAATGTCCGTGCTATAACTGTCGGCGCTGTTGAGCCAGCAGTGGTAGGGACCAGCCTCATAGGATGACTCCTGTTAACTTGATTAAGCACTTTGGTCCCAACCCGGACCAGGATTGAAATGTTCAATCCTACAAACGTGATTTCAGCCCTCGCAGAAATGCGAGTTAGAGTCTGGAAAATAATTACCGGTCAATCAAATCTTCAATTGGGTATTCCAAGGAATTTTCTTGATAAGTCACAGCTCGTTCTAGTTTTCTGTGTTTTGTAAACGTGACAACCGGCTATGTCGAAATCTAAACACCGGGCGAAGCGACAAAGCGTCGCTTTGCTGCAGAAGCTTGATTAGGCTGCGGTGCTCGTAATTGGTGTGTTGTGAGCTACAGGGCTACTAAGTATTGGTCCCCGGTGTGAAACATGAGCACACCCGTGGTGCAGCAGCCCCACAACACAGGCACGGCTGCCCACAATCAAGCGGTGGAACCCAGCTGATGGGTGACGTCACCCCAGACGTGTGGATCCGAGCACATCTGTGGCTCACAAAGTGTGCTCCGCGCACGTGTGTGTTGCAGGAGGGGCAGCGGGGTAGGGGGGGATGCGCGTGTGTGGTACTAATCAAAACTCCAAAGCTCGAATACATTTTCCCTAAAGATGCTAAGCGGTGGAATTTGCACATTAAATTTTTCCGTGTGCAAGTGTGTGCGCGGAGCCGCTGAGATCCAGGCGGAGCGGGGTGCCAGTGGGACTATCGTGACAGGTGTCTCGGGATCCGCTATTCTTTAGCAGCCCTGGTGAGTTGTTTCAGAGGCCCGCAAGCGTGTTCTTGGGGCCAAGGAGGAGGGAGGTGGGGGGAATGACCCTTTAACTCTTTTTGTCCTAGAGCTTGTTTCCCCTGGTCTGTGCACAGGGGAGCGCTTGCACGAGCCTCTTCGTGTATTTGTCCATCGACTATGCCAACATGGCAGCTGGTGTGTGTGTGTGCATGTACTTGTGAGACTTTGTATGCACTCGGGGATGTGTATTCCAAGCCTCCTTGTGGAAGAGGCTCATGAAGGACGCTACTGGGCAGTTGGATGCAGTTGCCCTCCGGCAACAACGGAGAGCAGAGCGATGCTCACAATAACGAGTGCAGCACCGGGCGGCTAAAACACAGCACGTTGGTACAGTGAGGAGCATAGGTGGTGCATCTGCCAGTCATCTCAGTCTATTCGGTGACCTGGGTCTCTTCCGTGACCTCCTGCCAGCGAGCTTTTGAGGCTTCAAGTGGCGTCACAGGGCACCTAGCCTGGTACAAGTTCCGTGGGATGTCACCACCACTTAGTGGTGAACTCTGTATGTTTTTGTTTGCATTTTGACTGCAGGTATTGTGGTTAATGCAGACAGGAATCCTTGTAAAAAGGTTTCAGTTTTGTTTCCAGATTAAAGGGGGAAAACCCTATTATTATATTTTGATACTGGCAAAGGAGGTCTGATGATGTAGATGCTCACCCCGAGCCCTCATTACTTTGATAGTGCATTGTCTTTGAGCTGTACGCCTTTTGGCGTCATCTGGTCGAGCACCAATTGGGTCGAGGCTCAAAAGAAAGCCGTCCCTTGGTGTGGATCAATCAGTTTCAAGGACAATGCATATATTTTAATTGTATGTTTTTTGTTTGCATTTTGACTGCAGGTATTGTGGTTAATGCAAACAGGAATCCTTGTAAAAAGGTTTCAGTTTTGTTGCCAGGAAAAAGGGGAAAAACCCTATTATTATATTTTGGTACTGGCAAAGGAGGTCTAATTATGACCTGGTAGATTTGTTCTGAAAGTAAGCCTCAAATGTGCATTGTCAGGTGCAGGTTTCACTTTATTTCAGTGTGAGCTTACATATTTTTATACTTATTTTAAAATTGTGTACGTGGAAGGAATCTCATCTGAGTGACGTTGATAAAAGCGCGGCCTGATTTTTCCTCATCATTAAGAAGCAGGAATCGAGATGTATAAGGAACCCATTTCTTCGAGGCTTGCTATTAAGTTGCTTTACGTCAACACACGTTGCCAGTGAGTACATGCAGAATTGTAATGGGGACTGATGCAATGGCCTTGTGCTCTCTTGCGATCCATTACGATTTAGCAATTTTCCAACCCCCCCCCCCCGCCCCACCCTTCCTTTGACTACAAGGTGGCAGCCAAAACGCCTTCACTGCTTCAAGTAACCTTGGCCCAGCGTGCGGACACGGACGAGTCTGTGTTTACTCACGGACTAGCTACCGAGCATCAGGTGTTGGTGTTTCCGTTTGGGCCCCATGAATACATTGCCGCCAGCCTGGCTTGACCACGCCTGGCATCGGTTTGCCCACAGGGAGAAGCAGCCAGGCATTGACGAGCTGCACGTTGGCATGGCGGTTATGGATATTAGTTGGAGGTCGACGCGAATAGGTGTTTTTTTGCGCGACTTTTGAAGGAGCATTGCAAAACGTACAAAATGCGCTCGCCAAAATAGATAAATTAGATGCACGCAAGTACGTGTGAAATATTATTAATCTGTAAACATCCCCATTCTGTCGATAATAGATATCTTAAAATACATCGATTGATTAAAATAGGGTTTTTTTTCCTGCTCATGATACATGCATCAAATTGTGTACGTTATAATTAATTATATATTGGCTTAAGTAGATTGTATGCAAATGGTATGCTAATCATTTACATGAGCTGATAGATAGACAGGACAAAACTGTATAAATTGTACTAAAAAATAAACTATTGTAATGATGCAAACAAGACAAAACAAATTCTTAAATGAAATGACGTTCCCAATTTGTGACATTCCCTTGCATAGAAGGGGTTCTAGATTTGAAGCTTTCGTGACTGCAAGGATCCATACTCTTTGGTTCTATTATTTTTTACCTAGAAGGGGTTGTTCAGCAGTAGAGTGAGCAGCTTGTAATCGAAAGGCACTCATTCTTGCACATCATACCAGGTACGGTGCTTATTTAAAGCTGAGTCAACCGAGGAGAAGCCCAGGGCCAATTCAGATATCTCTCACCACTGATCTTAAACTCGGGTCGTTGGGCTCATTGCACAGTGCGTGAGCCAATGCACCACGGCTCCCACACAAAGTCAAATGCTTTATATGTTTATAAAAAAAAACACAGATCTGTAACGATCTAAATACACACTTGGACACGTCGTACATGCATACGTACAAACACACCGACTCCTCGGTTCAAATTTTGCCGTTTCAAGAATGTGAGTGATGCTGAGTGTAGTAAATAAATGTGTTTTAGCCGGAGAAAGCGAGATATGGTGGAGATGCTGTGTGTGTGTGTGTTGCATCTCGTTTACATTGAACAACCGTTACATCCTGGCCAGTTTTGAATGGTGAATTTTGATTGGTCAATTGGACCAATAGCTTTGTGAATATGTAATAAGATATCTAACATAAAGATTAAGAACATTTTTTCATTTTATTTGCTGAACAATTTGTTGTTTGCGCCTATATTACATTTCTGTTATTCAGCGTCACATTCGCAGCAACATTCAATCTGCATCGACTTTTATGAGACACTAGTGGCCCTGCTAATTTCTTTTCAAACTGTGCTTGGCTCTATGCCTCAGCGTTGGGGTCATATATGTTCATTAAATATTGTGCACGTTTACAAATTGCATGCTAATTATTATTTACCGTACCATTTTTGTGACCCAGGTCTCACTTGGTAAAAAATATATATATCTGTCTAGCTGTTGGAGGTTTAATGGTCCAAACATACCCTGGTAAAATAATGAATTATCATGATTCAAGGTTACGTTTAGATTCAAGAACCGGTTAATTTTTAAACACTAGTGGCTGCAGATGTGACGTGAACTCATCACATGGAACATATGTGCATTAAAACAGATTGATAATTACACCTGCCATTCAGTCAATGTATTTCTTCATTGTGAATATATTCATTTATGTGAATCGATACGTCGTTTACGCCACTGATATCTCTTAGAATGCAGCCCCACTATTCTCCGTTCCGTCTGTTGTGTCGATTGTGCCACTGCCGCTGTGTCTGTGTATCTGAGCGGCTGCACGTAAACACAGCTTAAAGGTCGCGATCTGAGCGTGGCTTTGTTCGCTCCAGCGCTGTCCTCCAGACAGTCTCGTCCCTTCACCTGATGAAGGCCGCTTGTGTTGTGGCCGAAACGTCGTGAGAATTTTATTGTATTATTTTATTTTATCAATTTATTATTTTATTCTCATTCTACGTGACTTTACCGAAAGAACCAAAGAAGATGAATCATTGCAGTCACGAAAGCTTTAAATCGAAATTTAAACGCCAATTAGTTACTACCTCAGCCCACCGGTTTGCTTTGGATTTACTCTCCAACACACCGGTGGGCTGAAGTAGTAACTAATCGGCGCACTGTTTACGTGACAAACCTTACAGGCTGTGTCGGGTGGTGGAGGGTTACGACACATTTATACTTACGCGATCTAACACAAAAAAAACCTTTATTATGAATAATATTTGTCGCGAAATCTTACGTGTTAACCCGGCTGCAACGTGTTACGCGATCCCTGACCAGATCCTCGGCCTTCTTCTGGTCCCGCAGGAGGATCCTCATCCTGCTGGTGGTGGTGTGTGCCGGTGCCACGATTGTCCCAAGCTCCGCTCAAGAAACCCAAGGTACTCAAGAAGGCTCCTCCCCGAGAGCCTCCTGCTTGTTGTTGTGCTTACTTTGTTGTCCTTCCCCCACACCTCCTATTAGCACGATTGGTTACGGACGCTGCGAAAGAAGTTCAACACCACCTCATCATCATCATCATCAACATCATTACCTCCTCATCATCACCACTTCATCATCACCACTTCCTCATAATCATCAACCTCCACCGCCTCGTCATCACCATCACCGCCTCATCATCACGCTACCGGAGCTATGCACGTTTAAGTCATCTAGATTGAAAACGAATTTCTTGAGAACCGCTTGTTTATTGTGTTTAGTTTGTTGTTCTTTCCCCGCACCTCCGATTAGCACGATTGGCTACGGACGCTGCGAAAGAAGTTCAACACCACCTCATCATCATCATCAACATCATTACCTCCTCATCATCACCACCTCATCACACCACTTCCTCATAATCATCAACCTCCACTGCCTCATCATCACCATCACCACCTCATCATCACGCTACCGGAGCTATGCACGTTTAAGTTATCTAGATTGAAAAGATTTTCTTGAGAACCGCTTGTTGTTGTGTTTAGTTTGTTGTTCTTTCCCCGCACCTCCGATTAGCACGGTTGGCTACGGACGCTGCGAAATAAGTTCAATACGTTCATAGAGGGCTCCCAGTGTGCATTTTTCACTCTCCTGCGGCAGTGTTTGTTTGAATTACAGTGCTGTACGAGCGTGCTTCTGGTTATTCGTAACCATTTGCAATGGTAGTCAGATGTAGCATTCTACTTTATGGGAGGTGAATCATTTGGTTCAGGAATGATTGGGATCATATATGGATACATTTAACAGCTTAAGACTGCCCTGCTATGAGCAAAACCAATCAACCTGTGTGGCATCATGCTTGAGAGCCCAAGTTATACAATTCTGGTTTTTCAGATTTTTCTATTTTCAAACTTGATTTGAAGCTTTCGTGACTGCAGGAATCCATACTCTTTGGTTCTTTCGGTAAAGTCACGCAGGTAGGAAAATGAAATAAAAAATAATATTTCACGACGTTTCGATCGCAACACAAGCGCTCGTCCTCAGGTGGAAAAAAAATATCCAGCAGTGGAACTGCTCAGACCCTGCCTGTTTGACCTTCGCCACATCTGTAACCTCTTGTTGTTGTCACAGCTTTCTCGCTGTGTTCTTCCTGGTTCAGCAGTTACACTGCTGGATTATTTTTTCTGCCTGAGGACGACCGCTTGTGTTGTGATCGAAACGTCGGGATATATTATTATTTTTATTTTTTATCATTATTTTTTTATATCTTCATGCAGACTCAGCTATATTTATATCAATGCTCAGCTTCATTATCCCTTCCAGAACATAATTTAAATTGACATCAATTATTCAGCCATGACCCTGTATACGGTAATGCTATTTCCCCAAGAAAGGTTTGTTGGGTTTAAAATTATCTTAAGATTATTGCTTGGGATGTTTGGCTAATTTCTGATTAAACATTATAAAGCCATTAGATAACGTTTTAATGCTATGCATTTCTTGACTTGTATGCCCCTTGTAATAATTTAAAACAATGCATAGACCTTTGTTAAAGCACGATGGTCATCCTGGAAACTCGATGTATCCCACCATTTATTCATTATTGGCCATGGTTAATCCACTGCTGGATGAAAGCCTTTCCAAAGCTGCCACCATCTCTTGTGGTCATGTGATGTGATAATCCACCCAGCACCTTCACACGAGCTTATTCCTTCCCTTCTTATAACATGTCTTGCCCAAGCCTACGTACTTTCATGCATAGTTATTATTCACAGATTGTAAAAAAAAAAATCGAAATATGAAAAAAATACATATATACGTGGTATACACTTTCATAAACTTGCGTAATGCGGTTAAAGTATTACGTTTCGCAAAGGATAATGTTACAAGCAAAATCCCAGTCTTCGTGACCCATAAACTAATATTTGCAATTTCCCCCCAAAGCTGCCTGAGGCAAAGTACAAACTTTACTCTTGGCATTCGTGCCAGCAGTGAGCTATTGTTGGCCACACCAGAGATGCTAAAAGCGCTCTGTGTACATTTCCAGCAGGACATTACATTTCACAAGAGGGCTTTAAATGCTGTGGTGTGCCGACGTGCTGTGATTAAAGCAAGCAGGCCTTTGCTTGAGAGCAGGCGAGGGTGGTGATGGATGCTGTGTGCTCGAGCCCTAAAAGATGCAGTTGCAAGTTTATCTGTAGATTATTTGTTTCTGGTTGAGAAGGAAAGGTGCGTTTGTGTTTTCTTGAAATGGTGACTGATATTTTGTAATCTGTCATTCTTGGCGCAAGGTGCCATGGAATCAAGTGCTGTGATAATAAGAGCCCCCTTACAACAGAACTTGATTTCTTCCCTGAATAATTTCCGGGTCACCAAATTCCAGGAAATGGCACGTGACTGGTAGCTATAGCCATAGCGAGAGGCGTACTGGATGTGGCTTGTCGGGTGCGGTAATATTTCCCTGGTCGCTGACTCAGAGAGACCTGGCTGAAATTAAGTCCTGCATTACCGTATTTGTGGGGTATCGTGAAGCAAATCTACATGGTTTTATTGCAAGTGTACCCAGGCAGGGTTTGCCTTCTTAAACAAAGGCTGCTGGAGAACATTGATCTGGAAGGCCCTTAAGCTCATTGACCAAATGTAAGATAGTTGTATTTATATTCTTGGTTCTTTCGGTAAAGTCATGTAGAAGGGAATTTTTTTTCAAATTTTCTTGCTGTGGTTTTCACACCTGATGATGATTGCTTGTGTTGTAGTCGAAACGTCGTGCTAATTTTATTGTTTTATATTTTTATTGTTTTATTGTTTCCCTTCTACGTGACTTTACCGAAAGAACCAAGAACATGAATCCCTGCAGTGTCTAATTAAATCTCGCCTTAAGACGCAATTCATTATGCTTGCTTTTTGTTCCCACAATTAGCTGCTATACTTGTTCGTTTTTCCTTCCCCTGGTCAATGATATATTTGTTAATGTCTTTGTTCATTTTTAATGTATTGCACTTTAATTAACTTGTAGAAAGCTACTTTATGAATGTCATTTATTATTATTTATTCCCGGTATTATTTTTGTGTTTCATTACTTGTTACAATGTTGGCCATATGAGTTGCACAAAGCCTACTGTGGTCCTTACTCTGACACATCTCGAACTCACTGACACCGATTCACCTCCAGGTTTTCCATCATCCGCTGAGGACCGCCCCCACTTGTAGCTGACACAGAGACCCAGCGATTGCTTCCTTTATTCTGGCTCGGCCTAAAATAAATACCCAATATAAGGCATTCTCCCCGTACAGTGGAGAGGGTACAGTGTCAGCAGCAGGTGGGTCATGAATTCATCATTATTATCATCAGTCACAATCCACTGCTGGATAAAGGCTTCCCTAAGCTGTTGTCCATTCGTTCTTCCTCATGTGTGTTAATGCTTAAAAACGCCGGTGGTGGGTACACATGAACAGTGTTTAAAATGTATTAATACTGGGATATAAAGGTGTGTAAAATTAACCGCGTAAATATAGGCTTATTTTGGTTTATCCAGCATCAACATAGTCTGGAATCAACAGATGCTGGATATTCTTGGCAATAAATAAATCAAATACTGCTGGATGAAGGCCTCTCCACACGACGTTGGTCAGGGGGTGGTTTTGACCATACTTCACCATGCCAGTCAGTGCACGTTTGTGAAGGGAAGGACCAAGGGCCGGTTCAGGTATCACCCACTGCTGGTGTTCGCCATGGCCGAGAATCAAAGTTCAGGTCGCTGGGTGTATAGGGCAGTACACTTCCACTCCTCCATTCATGACAATGATTTTTCATTATGGCAAGGCTGTGAACAGGTATACAGCTTACACAAGGGTGTGTCATCATGCATATATAGCAATCAGCTACCAATATGCATACATTTAGAAAACTGTTTTCTTAATTTTCTTAGCAAAAAAAAAACCCTGCTATTTTTTCCTTTCTTTTATCGTGTATTAAATGCGATTACAGTAAACACTGGAATTGTGCAGTTGTTTGTACGTCCGTGATTCGTTTGATTAAAGTCAGATTTTTAACATCAGGAAATTGGATAGTATAAACATAAAAGCATTCTGTGGGGTTGGGAGAGGGGCTGCCGTGATGGCCAGTGCCGATAAGGGAAAGCGAATAGCCTTGGCAAGGGTTCCATCACGCCTGCACCGCACGCTCGTGCACACGCGCACGTACACGTGCCTGCACCGCACGCTCGTGTACACACTCGTGTACACGTGCCTGCACCGCACGCACGTGTACCAGCTCGTGTACACGCTCCTGCACAGCACGCGCGTGTACACGTGCGTGTACACACACGTGTACACGTGCCCGCACAGCACGCTCGTTTACATGCCGCACACGTAATGACCCGTGTGCACAAGATACATCGACCCCTAAACACTTGGGGACACGTACTTTCAGAGGCAAAGGTTGGCTAGGTACGGTGCGAAAGAAGTTCAACATACGTACGTACACACAGATGTTCACGAATGTACAGGGTGGTCCAGATGCATTGTGACCTCCCCCTCCCCATTTAATTGACCCCTAACATTTTTTTTATTTTGCTTATTTATTTCTGTTGTCCCACTCATTGCTATGCAAAAAAAAAGTTACGTTTTAGAGAATTAAATGAAGATCACAAGACATCTGGACCACCCTGTACATGCACACCTACAAACACACGTACACGTTGACTCGGCGTCGCACCCCGAGCTCGATTATAAAGATGCAACGTGCCCATGAACATCGACACTCGTGCAGACACTGGCATTGCGAGCCTTCGAGGCTCGCTCAGTGTGGCATCTCTCGGTGAAGCAAGGTTTAAAAAAAAAAATTGGCAAGTTTCCCAGAAATAATTCTGTCGCCATTCAAAGTGTCACGCCGAGTGACCCATTGATTATTATTTTTTTCTTTTGGAAGGGAGTGCGGGTGAACGGTGGTGGGTGCTTGATTCAA